AAATAAAGATGGAGAGATGTGGCCTAGAAGATTGTACCATTGATGATTTTAGAATGGATTAGGTTTCCCAGACTCAAAGAATAGTTATTATTGGTTCTGTGTCATCTTGTAAGGAGAGGAGAAGGTGGGGCATATCAGAGATCTGTTCTTGGCTCTTTGTTAGGTAATAATACATTATCAGTGATATAGATATTATAGATGACATGCTTATCAAAATCCAAATGATAAAAAGCTGACAAACTGGATATGAGAGGAAAGGTCCCACAATATTGTAAAAATTATACTGTTGGGCTGAATCCAATAAGATGAAATTTAAAGTCTTACACTTGAGTTCAAATAGCTGAATTCATAAAGACAAACTGAAGGAGGTGGGGCTAGATAGTTTTCTAAAAGAGATCTGGAAGTTTTAGTGGACTTCAAGCCCAATATATGAATAACAGTGTGGCCTAGCAGCCAAAAAAGATAATGCAATATTGTTCTGCATCAAGGTAATAGATATAGGGCTATGAAAGACATTAGAGGTCATCTAGTCTTATTTTCAGATAAGGAAAGAAGCCCAGATAGTTTAAGTTACTTTCATATAGTCTCACAGGTAGTAACTAACAAAGCTGGGATTTGAACCTAGGCTCCCTGACTCCAAATAAAAATGCTCTTTCCAAATGAAAACACTGAAATTTTATATATGTGTATATATGTCTGTCTGTGTGTGTGTGTGTGTGTGTGTGTGTGTGTGTGTGTGTGTGTGTATATATATATATATATATATATATATATATATATATATATATATATATATATATATATATATATATATATATAAATTATTATTAAGCTGGGCCTTCTTCATTTGTTTGTGTTTTCATTAACTGTAACTTCAGTGTGACTCAGGAGAGTGATACATCAGCAAATGAACCTAATATGACTTATTTCTTACCTTTTCAATTAGTGGAGAAGGGGATGAAAGGAGAGAAGAAAATTTGGAACTCAAAATTTTAAAGAAATGTAAAATAAAAAATAAATTTTAAAGAGAAACTAATATCTTGGATTCCATTAGTTATTTTTAATTGATTTATTATGATTTATCAACAATCACTTCCATAAGCTTTTGAGTTTTAATTTTTCTCCCCCTTCTTCCCCATCTCCCTCCCCAAGACAGTGAGCAATCTGATACAGGCTATACATATACGTTCCTATTAAACATACTCACATTAGTGATGTTGTAAGTAAGAACTAGAACCAATAGGAGGTGGTTCCATTATTTCTAGTAATAACTTATCTAAATCATATTTTAAGGTTTAAAAATATTTTAAGTACGTTGTATTTCATCATATTCAATGCACCAAAGTACTCCTACAATGTTACTAATGAATGATCTGAATTATTGTTTTTAATTAGTTGTTAAATCATAGTTAGTTGCCAAATCAAATGGCCTTTTCTTAGTCCTCATTCACCTCAATCTCTCTGCAGCCCTTGATATCGTTGATCACCATCTCTTCTGTGATACTTTCTTCTCTCTAGGTTTTTGAAATACTGTTCTCTCTTGGTTCTCCTCCTACTTATATGATGGCTTTTTCTCACCTTCCTCTGGATTCTCATCCAGATCACTTCCTCTCAAAGTAGGTGTCCCACAGGCCCTCTTCTCCTTCTATATTACTTCACTGATGATCTCATCAACTGCCATGAATTTAATTACATCAATATGCTGGTGGTGATCAAGTCTACCTATCCTGCCCCAAACTTTTTGCTAACCTCTAATCTTGCATTTCTAACTACCTGTCAGATAACTCAAACTGGGTGTCCAGTAGACATGTTAAGCATACATGTTCAAAACACAACTCATCATCTTTCCCCCTAAGCCTTTCCCCTCCTCCTACCTTCCCTTTCTCTATAGAGGGCAACCATCCTCCCAGCCCCTTAAGCTCAGAACCTAGGAGTCATTCTCAACTCCTCAGTATCTGTTACCTTGCCCCACCCCCCCGCATCTATATTCAACATGTTGCCAAAGTCTCTTGATTTCACTTTTTCAGCATGTCTCAAATGCATCTCTTTCTCTCTTCATGCTGCCTCCACTCTGCTAAAAGCCCTAATCACTTCCTATGTGGACTATTGCACCAGCTGCTGGTGGATCTGCCTGCTTCAAGCCTATCCCACTTCTAATTCATCCAGAATTCATCCTCCAACGTGGTTTTCCTAAAGTGCAGCTTCAACCATGCCTCAATAAACTCCAGTGGCTCCTTATGGCCTCCAGTATCAAGTATAAAATCCGTTTAGTGTTCAAAATACTTTATAACCTCCCTTTACCTCCCATACATATACAGCATTTCAAGCTTTATATACCTTATTTTTTGTCCAGTGACATTACCCTCCTTGCTGTTCCTCAACATGCCCTTTCTCAGTTCTAGGCATTTTTTTTTTCCTGACTATCCTCTATGCCTGGAATGTTCTCTGTCTTAATTATTGCCTACTTGCTTTCCTGGATTTATTCAAGTCCCAACTAAAATCCCATCTTCTATAGGAAGCCTTCCCCAACCACTCATAATTCCAGTGCCTTTTCTTTGTTAGTTATTTCCTATTTATTCTCTACATGGTTTGCTTTGCTTTTCTCTCACATTCGCTTATAATCTCCTCAAGGACAGGGACTATCTCTAGCCTCCTTTTTGTATGACCACTGCTTAGCACAGTGCCTGGCACATAGTAATATCAAGACCCGCACCCCAAGACCACTCCTTTTTTTACTCTTCTCTTTTCTTACTATTAGCATACACCTTGTTTTCCAGGGCTAAGGCCCAGCAAGAAAGCTGTGCCCTGAGCTTGGCATAACAACAGTTCTTTGTGCTCTCCCTCTAGATGAACTCTGCATCAGATAAATGACAGAATTAGCTCGAGCAAGCCCCAGGTGGTCCCTGAGTTCAGGCAAGCACCCACAGGAACCACATTCAGGTCACAAAGAGCCCTGCTATGAATAAATTTTTTGTTGCTAGGCAAAATTGCCTTGTTGTTACTGTTATACCTCACTGCTGTGTTTACACCTCATTGCCTGTGTCTTTGTCTAGCCATACCTGTATGTATCAAGGCTCAGCCTTGATGACTTGGGTCTCTTCAGTCTTACAGGAGACCCTGGTGTGTATGTCTAGTTTCTCTCTTCCAATGGAATAAAGAAGGCTTTTTATCTATAACCTCTGTGAGCAATTTGGTTTCATTTTGTTTTATTTTTCAGAATTAACAGTTGTTATAAAGCTTTTTTTTTTTTTTTGCTGGGCAATTGGGGTTAAATGACTTTCCCAGGGTCACACAGCTATTGAACATCATGTGTCTGAGGCCAGATTTGATCTCTGGTCCTCCTGACTCCAGAGCCTGTGCTGTATTCTCTGCACCACCTAACTGACCTTATTATAAAGCTTTTGCTACAGCCTCTGTAATACTTTGATCAGAGTTAACAGTTGGTACAATAACCTCTGTGGATTTTTGGTTATTTTATTTTATTTTCAGAGTTAGCAATTGATACATAACTTCTGTGACTTTTTGGTTATATATTTTCAGGGGTTTTACAGTAGCCATTAATAAATGTTTATTGATTAATTGCTTGATAATATTTCATTGATCCTAGTGTCTGCACAGATGTTGTCTACCCCACACCTAACCCCTTACCCAGGGTGTACTCCTTCATTGATACTTCTTAAAATATTGAGTTTTCTTCAAAACTCAGCTGAAGTGCTGCCTCTTGAATGAGATCTTTCTTCACTTTCCAGTTGGCAAAGTTTCCTACTAAAATTAGCATGTATTTTTTTGCATATATGTTTTTCCCCTGAGAGGTTAAAAAAGTCCTTGAAAGTAAGGATTATTTTATTTTTTTCTTTGTATTTGTATCTCCTAACACAGTGCTTAGAACATATTAGGTATTTCATAAATACTTGTCAACTGACTGATTAATCCTATTGGCAACCTTATAAGATAGGAAGTTGAAAGGGGGAAGGGAAGAAAGGAAATGAACATTTACTGGCATCTACTATGTGCCAAGAACTATTTTTTCAAATATTATCTCATTTGATCCTAACAAACCTGAAAGTTAGGTGCTCTTGCTATCTCCAATTTTGGGTTGAGGAAACTGAGGCAAGCAGAGGTGAAGTGAATTGTCCAGTAGCATGCTGCTATTAAGTGTCTTAGGTCTGATTAAGACTCAGATTCCTGACTCTAGCCCAGCACATTATCCACTGTGCTACCAGCTGCCTCTGTTAAATTATCCCTATATTAGAGTGGAAGTAACTGAGGCCAAGCTAAATGACTTGCAGAAGGTCAAATACTTAATAGATGTGTAAATCAAGATTTGAAATCAGGTCTTCCTAATTTCAAATGCAGCACTACCCTCTGTGAAAACTAGCTACTGAAATATCACTTACATTTTGCAGATGAGAAAATTGAGGCTCAGTGAGAAATGAAGTGAATGAAGTTTGTAGAAGAAAAGTTTAAGGGGGACAGAATGGCTCTCATTAAGCATTTGAAAAGCTGTCATGTTGAACATGAATTATATTTATTCTACTTGGCCCCAAGAGTGTGAAAATTAGTGCAACCAAAACCAGTGCAAAAGAGTGCAACCACGAACTGTGGTTGGAAGTTGAACAAAAGAGGTTTAATGTAAAGTGATATTTTCTGGTGAATAGAGACACCCAAAAGGAGAATGGAATTTAGGGGGTAGTCTGTTTCCCCTCATTATTCATTTTCAAAGAAATATACATTGACCAAAGGGGGAAGATACATGAGAATAAATAGTCTCTGAGATCCTTTCCAACTCTATGTGTTTGTGACTTTGTCTCTTGTTTAGGGCCCCACAGCTATCAAGCAGCAGGAAGAACCAATACTTGAACTCAAGTCTTTTGGCTTCAAATTCTATGCTCATTCTGCCAAGATGCTTTCCAGGAGAGTAGTCATAACAAAGTGAGTCATAATCCTAGCTAATTACAATTAGGTCAAACGATATTTGAACAATTTTTGTGCAATTCTAGGCACCCCATTTGAAGAAAGACATTGATACCAACAGGGGATTCAGTGAATGACAACCAAGGTGGAGAGGACACGTGGAACCATGTACTATGAAGGAACAATTGAAGAAGATAGAGATGTTAGATACAGAAGAAGATAGAAGAGAAAGCTCTCTCTCTCCCTCTCTCTCTCTCTCTCTCTCTCTCTCTCTCTCTCTCTCTCTCTCTCTTTTTCTGGATTTACTGAAATGAAAGTTATCTGCAAATATTTGAAAGATTGCCATGTAAAATATGGATTGAATTTAATTAATAAATTAATAATTTTAATTTTATTATTTAATTTAAATTAATTATTATTTAATTAATAATAAAATTAGGTCCAGAGAATTGTACTCAATGTGTGGAAGATATAGGGATATAGATAAACTTTCTTCATCGTATGAAAGACTTTACCAATAATTAGTATTGTTTAATAAGAGAATAGATTACTCTTTATGAGATTGTCAATGCTCCTCATTTCCCAATCACTGCTGGTATCAAGGAAATTAGATTATTTTTTTTTTATCAGGGATGTTGTAGATAGGGGATTCCTGGATTGAGTAGGAGGTTGGATCTGATGCTCACTAAGCATCTTCTAGCTCAAAGCTTTTATGCCTCTTAGATTCTCTTATTCTAAGATCTCAGTGCATAGATTTAATAAAGAAGTATTTTTGACTGGCTAATTGATTCTCTCTGTCTTCATTTATAGATTGTCCAAAGCATCTTTGTAAAATGGCCTTATTATTTAATTCACAACTCCTTCAAGCATAGAATAGCTGCTGAATGAATTTAGCTGCATTTTCTTTCTCTTTCTCCTCCTGATAAATTCCAATGAAAGAATTCTAATTTCAATGTAACAAAGCACCATTCTGATGTGAGGCCTTAATTTTCTATATCCCATAAGTATACTTTTTAATGTGGTAAATAAGAGGCCATGAATCTTGGACAGGCTTGCTATCAAAGGGGTTGTTGAAAAGTTACAGGGATGGATGGGAGAAATAAGAGTTGAGGGGATAGGAGTAGGAGGTGATGGGAGATTTTAAGGTCAAGGTGCCCAAGAAAAAAGCAACAAAATTCTTCATAGGAGTTCTCTTCCCTTCGTCTCAGGAATACTCTCACTGCATACATTGAATTGTTTCTCCTTTTAAAGACTCTCCAAGCAATATTATTTCTTTTAAGTTTAATTTAGTACTGCCAATTTTGTTTTCATTTGCTTGAGAATTTTATACAACCCGTGAAATAATTAGAAACAAACTGGGCAGCAGGGACAGTATTAGAAGAGCAGAGAGGAACTACTTGCATAATACCTGAGGAGAGTGAGAATTTCAGTAAAGGGCTTATGTCTTTTATTCCCAGATTAGTATTTTTTACCTCCTTCCCACACTAAATTAGCTCCTTTCTACATGTTGTTTCCTACTTATTCCTAATCTTTTTTAAATCTAGTATTTTCGTTCTTTCCCTTGACCTTCTACCTTCCCCTTTAGTTCTTCCAGACAAGCCAAGCCCCATCCAGATTTTCTAGCCTGACCTCTTTTTCTTAGTCTTGTATCAAAGATGAGAGCATTATCTAACCTTTTCTGCTGTTTGCAGTGAATATCTGCTCATTATCATGATCAGTAAATGTTTTGTTTTAATATTGATTTAATTGATTATTAGCTTTAAAGTTTGATTTAAACATTTCAAAGCCAAAATAAATAAAAAGAAAAGAAAAAAACAAAATATGTTCTAGAAAGTCATGTTAATCTCTGTAAAATTATTTTCAATATGATTTATTGTTATATTCAAATAGCATGATGTTATTTATTAATAGTGTAAAGATTGGAGAGGATGGCTATTCCAGCTGTGGCTTGATGTGCCTTAACACATCCAGTTTGGTGCTGTGGAACTTCCGATTCCTGGCATGAAAGTCAATTATTGCCCCTTGAAAACTCTTAAGATGAAACTATTCACAGCTGGCCTCTGCCTGTATTAGTGGAATCAGGTTGTATCCTTGTCTTCCTGCAATAAATCTTCTTTGCTATTGTAACTTCTGCTCTTGCCATAATTTACATTTCTTATAAGAATTATTCTAAAAAACCAGAAGCTCTCATAATCTGCTATTTCTGGCAAAAGTAGAGTTCTTTCTTCTCCTTTCAACTGTTCAGAGTCGCAGAATATAGTGTTTAAGCTCCTCAATGACCCAAGAACAAATAAAACCAATAACCAGATTTGCCCAGGGTCACACAGCTAATAAGTATCTGAGTCAAATTTGAACTCAGGTCGTCCTGATTCTAGGTCTGTGCCACCTAGCTATAATGAATTGGTCACTTCTTGTGCCTGCTGCTTGCCCAGAGTCTAACTCAGTTAAAATGTATCTCTCCTGGTTTCCATTCTTAATGTCCTCTTTCTCTTTAGTCAATAATTAATCTGTGGGCAGATAGGTGGCACATGGATGGAGCACTGGCCTTAGAGTCAGGAGGACCTGAGTTCAAATCTGCCTCAGACAATCCACTTAACACTTACTAGCTGTGTGACCCTGGGCAAGTCACTTAACCCCAATTGCCTAAAAGTAAACAATTACTCTGATAAAATCAAGAACTAATGGATTAAAACTCAGAGGTAAGGCATTTGCTTTTCTAAGGGGAACACACTTAAACAATACTATGTAAGGCTCTTTAAAATCTTGGACAACATCTGGTATAAAACTGTCATCTTACAGCTGAGGAGTCTAAGTCTTAGAAGGGCCAAGTTACTTGCCAAATATCATATAGCTAGCTAGTGACAGAGTAAAAAACAGAGTTGAGGTTTCCTGATGCTCAGTAGTCATTCTGCCCCTGCTTGTCAGCTACACTCATCATCTTTGCCTTCTATTCCACCTGTTCTTCATTTCTGCCATGTCCAATGCTTCTCTCCCACCTCTTTCCAAAGCTGGCCATCCACTCCTACCTAGCTCCATACTTTAAAAAAATAGATTCAAAACCCACATCTGTGTTTCCGGGCATACATCCACATGAAGGCAGAGGAAACGCTGTATGATCTGACTCTTTTGTTCTTTCAAAATCTGTCTACTGCCAATGGATCTCTGAATGTGTAGTGCAAACTTCCTCTGTTATAAAAATGAAGAAAAAAAAGGCACAGAGCACCAAGCAGGGAACCCAAATGTTAAGCAAAGGTAATGCAGAAATGGCACCTGTCCCCCGGGGAAGGGCTAGCCACAGGCATCAATGCCTTCTGCCTTTGAGACATGAGATCTACTAATAAGTGCAAAGAACCATTTCTAAGCCTCCCACATAATACTGTGTTCACATGGTATCCAGCTGAGCATTGGATTTGTAGGGATTACAAAATCAAAAAATTTGACTTATGTTCACTGTGGCACTGTCTTCTACTCTGTTGTGTTTGATTTCTTTGTCTCAGTATAAAGGGGGCATAACCAACTACCTGCCTGAAACTACCTGCCTGTTGTGATCATCCTATTGGCTTTAAAATGCATGCCTTAGATGAATGGGGAGTCCAAGGTAGAAGTGTGTGCATTTACTTTTCTTGTTCAGAAATGTGAAGTTTCAAGTAACTGGGAGAAGGAAAATGGAAATTTTAAGGTTTTTTTTTTTAGGCTAGTTCTATACTTCAGTGGTACTGTGATCTCAGTGTGACAACTCTTCCCCTTCATGCAATATAGTGTATACTACACTGGCCTCAGAGTTTGAAAGACCTAATTATACCTATTGATACCTACTGGCTATTTGACCCTGTCATCCAAATAATTCTACCCCTCAGCCTCAGTTTCCTAACCCGTAAAATGATAATAATGCCTTTAGTACCTATTTCACAGGGATGTTGTAAAGGTAAGATAAAATTATATACGTAAGTACTTTGTAAACTATGAATACTTGTTGTCAACTTCATTCTCTGACCTTGATCTTCATCCTCATCTTTATCATCCTAATCTCTCCCAGCCACCAGAAGAATCATTACGTTAGATAATTTCTTTTGTCTATTTCTTTCTCCATAGAAAATCTATAAAATGAAGGCTCTCCACTGGTTCTTTTAATATATCATGGATATTAGCTGTTCTGGGCTGGGCCTGACTCATGCTAGTCCCCTAGTAGTTTAGATTTGGTAATGGAACAAAATGAGACAAAAGTAGATTTACTTAGATATAGGAGGAGATTGAGTAAGGATGGAGGACACCTGGAGATGATTTAACTGAGCAAAGCTCCCTTGGCTGAATTGCCCATTGTTTTCAACTAGGTAAGCATCAAAGATCTTCTGGAGCTCCTCATGATGGCTTTATACTCAGGTGACTAGAAAGTTATGTCAGGAACCTGAGCTATTAGTCACCTGAATCTGCTAAATATTGAAGATTATATCAATATCTTTTACTGGGGCTGGGCAAGAGGGAGGGGGAACACAACTTTCTGAACTTGCCTGGGAACAAGGATTTGGTTATGGTTGCTTAAAAAAAAAAACCTTAGGCTATCTCTCTGTTTTGTTTCATTCTTTCTTCATTTTTTTTCAGCCATACATATCTTTGGTGATATAGTAGGTTGTATAGAATGGTGGGGAGTACACTGGACCTGGAGTTATGAAACCTGGGTCTCAAATGCTCTGCAGCTTATTCCTGGTGAGATCTTGGGCAAGTCAGTTAACCTCAGTTTTCTTAATTGTAAAATGAGAAGCTTGAACTAGCTAAATTCTAAGAGTGTCTCCAACTCTAGTGCTATGATACAGCCTTTCCCCATCACTACTTGAATGCAAATTATCATTGGTAACATGTTGCAGCCCACCAGGTGTGTCCATTGCCCTTTGAATCACCTGCAAACGTGATTATTCTGGGATTGTGGTGATCCATCTTTCACAGCCATATGGCTCTCCTATTCAAGGTCAGTGTTATTCAAAAGAAACTATGGTGTTTAAAAAACATGGGTTAAGGGAAATTTAAAAATGTAAAAGCCAATGTCAGTTGTAATAGGTTTAAGAGTAAAGGGAATTGTAATAGCACATAATGGCATAGCCAGTTGTAACTGAGTTGGGCTTGGCCAACTTTCAAATAATAGGCTTTTATTTAATTATTCATAAGCCATTTATTGTTTCAAACAATCTTACTTCCCCAGGGAAGTCCAATATGTAGGTGATATAGATGTCTATCCACCTA